TATCAGCCAGAATCTAGGATTGAATCTTAGTGTTGATCTTCAAAGTATCAGCCAGAATCTAGGATTGAATCTTAGGGTTGATCTTCAAAGTATCATCTAGAATCTAAGATTGAATCTTAGGGTTGATCTTCAAAGTATCAGCCAGAATCTAGAATTGTATCTTAGTGTTGATCTTCAAAGTATCAGCCAGAATCTAGAATTGTATCTTAGTGTTGATCTTCAAAGTATCAGCCAGAATCTAGGATTGTATCTTAAATTATCTGATGAATAGAACCTTCAAACTAAAAAAAAGAAAGAAAATATTTCTAACACACACGGAAATCAATAAAATTATTTAACTCATCGATTTGTTTTTTGAAAAAATATTAATCTATCGACTTCTATAAAACACCTTAAACTAAGGTGAAAAAATCAAGTGATCCTTGGAACAGGATAACTGATCACACGGGTAATGGTGTACACCACTAAAACTTTTGAACACTGTCCATGGCCCTTCACCCATGGCATATATACACCGCATGAAACGATTCAGGGATAAACGTACTTTTTTGCATAGTTTAACACGAGCCCGGAGAATATCGCAAGTTGTACGTTGCCATGGTGTATTTAAATTAAGTGAATTAATGAGTTGCTAGGATAATGTGTCTTATTTGTGAACGTGATGGAAAATAATGCAAATGTCTTATTGATTTGATGTCTTATCTTTTGTTGTACTTGCAAGATCTCACCAATGTTTCATTGAAGTAACTAAATTTCGTCTTCATTGTTATATATATAAGCAATTGTTCTTTGTCTGACAGTATCCTTTAAAGTATTATTTTAAATAAGCAATTGTTGTTGTTCCAATAGTCGCATTTAAAGCTTTGTTATCAATAGGCAATTGTTGTTGTTCTGACAGTATGCACCTTTTTATCCCATCTTTGTAAGCTGACATTACGCGTTACAAAGAAGCACAGAGGAGTAAGTGCGTTATATTGAAACGATTTTGGAACTTCATAAATAAGAAGGATCTCTGTCTCGAAACGAGGATAACAAGATAAAGTTTCCGTCCCATATTCCAAGCAGTTGAATAAATAATTTATGTAAGATCGGACTGTTGAAGTATACTCTAGATGGATTATCGAAAGCTGACAGGGAGGAGTGGTGTACTTTGTACATGATAGCCTTGAAACGGAATCTTTTGCAATGAAAACTACGTCAAGATTCACGATCGTCAGATACAAAATGAACTTTAACGACTTTGTGAGGCTATAAAATCGTTTCAAAATAACTTACTCAACTTCTGCATAAGACACGTGAAATTGTGAAACCAGCAACACATGAACTTGTTTGTAAAGATAAAATCACAATTTCAACCAGCTATATCTGAACTTCTTTGTAAAGGCAAGTATCTATAAGATAAAATCACAATTTCGTTGGAAAGGAAACCAGATTGCTAAGTATATTCAAGATTATATGCAAAAACAAGTTTTTATTAAAAACATCTGTCACGTACCCTCCTGGCTGAATCGTTCATCATTGTAAGCCGCGGTATATTGGCTCATAGAATGGCTCTGGGTTTCTTTCTCTTTTATTTCAAGTACAAACTAGCTCCGTCATCTCTTGACCGATTTGAGATCTAATTATAGTTTTGGACTCAGGAGGTCAAGCCCTTTCGACTGATGTATTTTACCACGCCCAAGGTCTCATAGATTAATTTACTCTAATCCTATCTAAAATGATTTCAATTTGAGGGTAAGCTGGTAGAGATCCTGATGAGTAATAAAATCGAATCGGGTATACGCGCGCCCCACGCTTGGTATTGTTGGCACACAAAAATATAGCTAATAAAAAGGAAAAACGTTCTCATACATTAATTTACTTTAATTCTGCATACAAGAATTTCAAGTGCCCTCAGCTATTGGGGATTCCCTCTTGTTCTTAATCTATGAAACACCAGAAGAAACATTAAAGCAAAACAAAAAATATTTGTTTTATCAAGTCGTGTGATTGAATTGTCTTTGTTGTCCAACTTATGAAACTCACATTCAGCGAATAAACAGAGCAAAAAAAAAAACATTTGTTTTATCAAGTCTCGTGACCGAATTGTTCTTCGATGTTTTAGTTATAAAACACAAAATACAATAAACAAACATTGCGGTCGTCATGATTGAATTGCTCATTCCTGGTTGAGTTATGAATTACAAAGTTCAGATAATACACCCTAAGGTAAGACGCCCTAAGACTGATTGAGTTATTAATTACAAAGTTCAAA